AAATCTTTAAAAAAAAAGTTACTTTGTTTGCTCTCGTACCATATATTTTTTTCCTTTTTCATATTGGAAATAATCAAAACATATTTATTTGTATAAAATTGAGTGGACTCTAAGAAGACAACATAGATTTTCTATTAAGTTCTGTGTTTGTTTAGTATTTTGCTTTATCTAAATGCAAGATTGGGCCTCTTTAATTTTTTTAAACACATAGAAATTTATGGGGTTTGGTTTTTAGATTATATTCCAAGATCTGCAATGGAAATAATGTATTCTATTTGCTGCAAATCATTTGGGGAACACTTTGAGGTATCTATTCATTAATTACTCAAAATTTTGTTGAGTATCCATGATTTGCCAGGCCCCCTTCCCAAGCGTCAGGATATATAATTGAATGACAATGCATATTAAAAGATGACAAGTGAAATGGGAAAAAAAATAAGGGCACATTTATGGAGGTCAGGAAGATGAGGGCTGGAGTTATAATCCTCAACAGAATATCTGGGGAAGCCCTTATTGAGAAAGCAGTGCTATTATGAAGATTTGAAGAAGGCATATAAGTCATTAGCTATATAAAAACCAGGAAGAGTAAATAATGAGAGCAGAGGCAATAAACTGGAAAAAAGGCTGACTTATGTGTAAAATCAAGGGAATGTTATATTCATTGGAGTGAAGAAGAGAAAGAATGGCTGAAAATGAGTCAGTGATAATGTTGGATCCTATTGAACCTTATGCTACTGTAACAATATTTCAACCATAAAGATATGGGGAACCTACTGGGACATTTTGTGGGGAATGGCATAATCTTATTTTACATAAAAAGCATTGCAGGGGCCCTCCCTGGTGGCGCAGCGGGTTAAAGCACTGCACTAAGAAGCTAAAGCCATTTCCGCATGAGTTCGATTCCTGCCTGCTCCGAGATGACCACATGACGTGGCAGACCTCTCTTGACCCACCCTCTGCTTCCCTCAGCATTGTACTTCAATGATCTGCCTGTTCTGCTCCCCACTCTGTCTCTGGCGAAGCCTCTCGCTGCTCCTGAGCCTCTGGCCTGTACCCCAGTTCTGTATGCACAAATAAATAAATCTTAAAAAAAAAAAAAAAGCAGTGCAGGATATGTGACTTGTAGTTCACAAAGTAAATGTCTCTCACTTTAAGGTTTAAATGCAAATTTATCACTTCAAATGTAGCTTGAATATTTTATCAGTGATCCACAAAGAAATGCTAGTGTTCCTGAGAAGCTGCCCTTTGTTTAAAATCTGATTTTTTGATCTTCAGATTATAATACAAGTGAACAAAAACAAGCCTGTAAGAAACATGAACTTTATGTAAGTTTCCGGGATCTGGGATGGCAGGTAAGAATAGTGCTTTTTCAGTGCTTCTCTTCTGCTTTATTATAAATCCTTAGTTACTCATAATCTTTTCAGTATATTTTTCCAGTACAGTGATGATGTTTGACATAACAGTGTGTAAATTATCCACATCATTTGTATTTCTGCATTATCCTTTGATCTTTGCAACATAATTTTAAGGTTTACAGTACCCAGCAACTGTGCTGAAGACGAAATACATGGTATTTAAAAGTGAAAAAAGGTGCTGTTTACTTTGATTTAAATACCAAATGTTTGGGTTTAACTAGAGCAATTCCATGTGTCCCTTATTGTGCCAAATTATCAGTCCAAGAAATAAAATCCTTGACGATGTCTCTTTCATAGATAGATGTACAAAAAAGAAATTTTCTTGCACTTCAAATCATTTTAGATATAATTCACAAAGAGGAGGATTTAGCCCAAATACTTCTGAATGGCCCTATGTAGTAATAGTTTATAGTAACATTTTTAGATTTCATTATCCCCTTGTAGTGAATTCTCATAAGATTTTTTTTTTGAAAAGTAAAATTAAAGTGTAAATATTTTATGATATTTACACACATTTTATCATGGAAATTTCAACATTAATGGTTCAATAATTTTACATATGGATCAGGTTTTATTTCTTGGGAGAAAAAAAATCAGGGCAACTATTTCTTGTGCCAAGATTTTAGCTTCCTGAAATTTTTCATGTGCAGTTTTCAGGAGCTTGCTCCAATTTATTTCTTCTAGTGAGACTATAAAGTTAATATACAAGTAGAAAGAAAAAACAGCACAAGGAGCAAATATAAAGATTTAAGGAGTCATCAGGCTTCTGAAACCAGGAGTGAGTTATTAATAATGAGAATTATCTCAATTAAGTTTATTCTTCTTTTCCTTTCTGCTAAACTTGAACTCTCCAGAGTTCATCATTTCCTGTTTAAACAATATTTAGAATGCTATTTTGTGATTATGGTTTTATTCATGAATACATGGATTAGTGCATACTATGAATATTTCACATAGCAACCTCTTGGGAGAAATTACAGAAGACAACTTCTTGTGAAAATATTTATATTTTGTTGTAAACTTTAACTGTCCTATTAGAATAATTGTTGGAACTAAATACAAATCTATTCAGATTAAATATAGTTGAGTATTTTTAAGAGATATTTTCTTTGTTTTTATTTTGTGATATTACTTTTTTTTTTTTTTTTTTTTGTGCATTGTAGGACTGGATCATAGCACCAGAAGGATATGCTGCATTTTATTGTGATGGAGAATGTTCTTTTCCACTCAATGCCCATATGAATGCCACCAACCATGCTATAGTTCAGACTTTGGTATGCTTTGTTTTCATAAAATTGAAAGTGGTTTATGGTATGGGCATCATAGTAATTTTAAAGGAAGCATTTATCTAGAGCTATTCACACATTATCTTCTCTTTTCAAGCTCCTTTGATACTTTTGAGAGTGAAAATGACAATACTCAATGTAATCAGGAAATATAGGTTAGTTTAAGGAATAATCCAGATTCCAGAATGAGGATGGGACTGGGAAAACTCTGGTTATCCCAAGAAGTAGTTATTATGCACTAATTCCTTCACTTGTCAATAAATCTAACCACACAGGTTTCTAAGAATTGTTTTGAAACTAACAATCCTCTAGTAATCATTGCAAGAACAGTGAATAACTATAGTGAATTTCATCCAGATACCTTTACTCTAATTACTTAAAAATTTTCCATAGTTTTGGTATTATGATTGTTCTTCAATGTAGAATGTAAATTAAAGACCCATTTGTACTTCTTGACACCTTTATTTTGGTAATCTTTCAGGTGAAAATTAATTATCATTTCTTTCCTTCACTCTCAAGAATTTAACAGTGATCTAAGCTCTAGTTACCTTGGCTTGTTTCTAAGAAAAAAAAAATATTGAAGTGTTTGATTCCATGGTCCCTAAGTGGTTGTACTAAATCTAATGAGCTTATGAAATCTTGAGAGTCTGACATTACCTGCCTTGTGCTATGTTACACTGATGGGGCAAAGGAACAAGCTTCACAAGACTAAGGGAGAAGCCTTGAGAAGATACAGTAAAATGACTGATAAAATTCCAAACTACTTTTTGAATTAATATGAATCTTTTAACTAATTGCAACTAGGAAATAAAGAAAAGATCATTTTGCTTCAAAGTAAGTCTTGATCATGGGAGTAGAATTATTTGGCGGATAGCAATAACAATAGTTATTGGAAAAAGAATCTCTGTGACCAACAAGAGTAATGACTAGAATTTGTGAGAAGTTGTCTTTAAAGAGTTTACTTTCCCTCACAATTAATGAAAAATTTAAAAGGGAAAGGAAGTATCCCTGTTTTTCTACTAAATATAGAATGGTGCATAAATCGATGAAATATTTGAATAATTTGATGTTCTGCAGATGTCTTTGCTGACTTTACAAGTACTACAGGATAGCGAGACATCAGAGATGACTCTCTGTAGCAACTGGAGCAAGGTCATTGTCCAAAACATTGGAAATAACCCTAAAGAGAAACAGATAAACTAAATTATGTATTTTGAAAGGTAGTCATATATGTGTGTTCCTCCTGTTATTAATTTTTGCCCAATGACATTGACATCGCCTCCTTCTGTATTTGTAAAGATACAGCACTTAGCTATGTTTACTATCTGTAAAGCTAAGATCTTGCTATAAAGTGTGGTTTCTCAGTGATAGGGAGCATGTATTCTTTGCAAGGATGGTTTGTTGTATTCAAATTTCAACTGGCCAAAAAAAAAAATCTTTATACTGTCTAGTTTTCTATCCTTGTTTCCAAAATTCACTTTGACTTGGAAGTCTACTGCAGACAGAGAAACGTGCTGTTTCATTTCTAGAATTGACAGCCATAACCTCTGTCTCTTTGTATGGTCATAGAGGAACATTCAGCTACAGCTTTTATTAGATTGTATAGAATACCACTAACTTCTTAGCAAATTCTTTGCCTCCTTTTTCTGTCATTTCAGTAACTCAAAAGGCAGGTTTTTGCTTCCTTAGAAAAAGGAAGCAAACATATGTAGCTAACATATCAAAGTTTCCCTCAGACTAAGCAGTGCTTAATTATTGCAAAAAAAAAGTCATTTTGTCCCCATTTTTCACATTTCTCCTTCTCTCTGTCAAATATGTAATTATAAATTTTCAGTTTTTAGCACTATAATCTAGAAGGCAACATTAAAGCCTTTTTTTTTTTTTTTTTTTAAATCTGACATAGAATGGAAAAGAATCCCACTCTCCTTCACTGTCCTGGGATGTCGGATATAGGCATTGCCAAACTTGCAGTGTACATGGGAAATTTGATTCCTTCCCCACTCTGCCCCCCCCCCACCCCTCCACTGGCATCGTGAAGTCTGTACATGAATTCCATGAAGGACATGATATAAGAAAACAGGCATGCTTGTTGCTAGAGGGAAATGTGTTTGTGACTAATATGTTTGAGAAACCATTCAAGAACAATCCATTTTTTTTCAGAGCAACTGCTTCGCAATGCTGCCAAGGCCATTGAAACAGGGTGATCAATCATGTATGTGTGGGTTATAGAAGATAAAGCCGATGAGGGACACAAGCTGCATCTGAAATTTGTAGAAACAATCCAACTTTTGGTTTTGTGAGGTCTTAGGAAATTTCAAGTCCATGTCAGATCACCTCATTTTTCCTGCTGTTTCTGTCCACAAACAGGGCTCCTATATCATTTCAGCCAGGACGTTGTACAGCCAAAACTCTAAGAGCTGTATTTGCTTTTTGTAGGTCCCCCAGGACTCATCAGTGGGACTTCCCATAAAATCCTTTGGGGAAAGGGCCAGGATAGGTGGGTGGGAAAAGGGAAACTGTATTCTGGCTCCTTGCTCAGTTATTGCAAGTTGTAGGCAGACTGCCAGGCTGATCAAAATGATTATAAGCCCTAGACTTATGCATTTTACTCTGCCTGTATAACCACCTCTTCAGGTTTTGGGGGGGGATGGATATTCGATTTACAAAATATCTAGGCTCTTTGCTTCCGATTTAACTTAGTCTGCTTATGAGTGTTTGTCTAGGGGAGAAACAAGGAAGAAGGATATTCAACTCCTGCCAATAGGTATAAAATTCTGTAGAGAGGAGTTGAAATCATTGCTTTATTCCTGGAGTTCATTTTGCTATTATTTTAATACTTTCTTTACCATGGGAAATTAAGAGTTTGTATTTTTTTTTTACCAGTTATTGTTTAATTATCCTTTAAAAGTTCTTAGATCCAAATCATTCTATAGTCCAATCATGTAGTTTCATTTATTTGCATTTTTAACTTCTGTATTTCTCATGAAGTAAGTTGTCTTAACCAAAAACATCTCAATGTTAGTTGCCATGTTATTTTCCCCCCAGGAAAATTTCCACTGCATATTCCATGTAGGGAATTCTCCTTAATTGGTAGAATATTTTTCAAGGCCCCCCACACATAACTATAACTGCTGGGTAGATTTTAGATGTGAATGCTTAAGCATGCATCCTTCACCACCAGCCTGGTCCTCCCATCCTAGCCATCCTACTTAATAAATAAGAGGAAGTGGTAGCTTAAGGGTGTGCTTGATTGTGAGCAATAAAAGAAGCATATTATTTGAAAACTGTATTCAAGTGTCTACTTATTTGTTAAAAATGCAAAACATGTTTTTCTTTTCCAGGTTCATCTGATGTTTCCTGACCACGTCCCAAAGCCTTGCTGTGCTCCAACCAAATTAAATGCCATCTCCGTGCTATACTTTGATGATAGCTCCAATGTCATTTTGAAAAAATACAGAAATATGGTAGTGCGCTCATGTGGCTGCCACTAATATTAAATAATAATAGCAACAAAGAAAAGATCTGTAATAAGGTTTATGACTTCAATAAAAATTATACTTTCAGACAAAAGGGGAACTTTGTAAAATTAGTCTGGCTCTTTTCATCTCTCTAACTATGTACAATATCATGTATATAGTCACATTTATTTATTTAAAGGTATATATTCTCTTTGTGGATGCCTTGTCAATAAAATCTATTTCATAGTCACTACATTTTACAACAAATTGATTGCCCATTTAAACTTTTAATGGGATATACAACATCCCATTCAATTGCATTTCAAATGTTTTTCCTAGTACAGTTTTTATATAATTTTCTGAAATTAGATAGACTTTTTGATTGTTAAATTCTGGTGAAGGAAACTAAATGTATTTGGATATGCTGTGCCAATGAAAACTATGATAGGGTATTTATTTAGATATAAAATTTAAAAAATAATAATAACCTAAACTAAAAAGCTCAGATAAACACAATTTTTCTTGTAGTTTCTGCTTCATTAAATAAAGCAAAATGTTACATTGGATTTGAATAAATAAACGGTAGACAGAAAGAACATATAAGCTGAAAGATTGCACATAATTATTGCAACGGTTTACTTTAACAGAATTGGTGTAACTGTAGTAGCACGTTCCTTCTTGGGTTGTGGATTGTAGATTTTGCAAAGAGCTCAAAGCTTCAGAATTCTGTAGAGACAGGCTTGAGCCTGTGTCCATAACTTTCCAAGTTAACACTAAAAAATTGCAGTACAACCTTCTTACCTCAAATAAATTATGTCTGCCTATTATCTAGAACACTACTGCTGCAGATTTTTTTCAGATTTAAGAACAGTCCAAAATAAAGAAATATTTACATGTGCTCCACTTCCCTCCCCACAGACAAGCGTCACTGCATGCATGAAATATACTGGAGCAGAGATGCCGACAGAGCCATTTTCTTTCGCTTTACTTTATAACTGAGTTTGCTGATTGATGTGATGCAAGGGATTTTATTTAGGGTAAAAGCACTGAAACTAAACTGGAGGAAATTACCAAAAATCCCAGAATGGCTATGACAGAATTGCCATTTCGAAAGAACAGCTGAAATCCATTTTTCATATCTTTGAGAATGAGCTCAATGAAAACCTTATTTTGTAAGGGGATTTTGTAAACCTTCCTCCAAGCACAAATAATTCCAAATGGGAAGGTTCTGTTGTGTGTATGTGCATGTGTGTTCTTCCCTCTGAAATTAATTTATTTTCTTTCTCCGCCTTCTAAGGCTTGCTTTATTTTTTTTAAACACACACTGACTTTTTGAAGAATGACATTTAGTTGAATAACTTGCTATTTATGGTGGCTCCACGGTTAGACTTTTTTTTTTCTTCCAGTTACCTAAAATATTCATAAAATAACATTTATTAATCACCCTTTTAAATAAAATTTATATTGGAAATAGCTAAAAATATTATGGGTTTGTAATTCAGGTATATTGCAATGTTGTTTTAAAATACAGTTTATCTCGAAGAAAAGTTGATAATAACTATATTGGGGGTACATTAAGTAATATATTTTTGAATTAATGGTGTACCATTGTAAGAGTAAAAAATGGAAGTCTATTATATTATTCTTTAAATGTGCTGTTTAAATGTATTTCTATATATTAAAATATATTAAACTCGTGATGCTAGTTTCTACTGTGCTTCTTGATTTAGTCCTTTACTTAAGGGTTACAAGATATGAAAATGTCAAAGAATATCACATGTAAAATGTTTATGGGTTGCATGATTCTTTATGTTGCTTTTCATTGCCAAAACTAGTTTTGTGTTGTTAATATACAAGTTTCTATTAAAAGGACAAAATAGCAATCCACAAATAATTTTTTTTTCACAAATAAATTCTTAATCTGGTCAGATAATAAAGAAATCTTTAAAGTAATAAAAAGTGATTAGGATGGGAAAATATCTTACTTGTTCTCTTAAGAAATGAAATATTAGTGTTTTTGTTTTCTCAGATTCTAAGTACATATATATATATATAATATATATATATATATATATATATATATATGCTCATATGTTCCATTATATTCTAATTTTACCACTGTAGTTAATTATTAGTATTACTTTGGCAATGCTCTAGCTTTTGATTACTAGAAATCAGAACAATTTGGCCTACATTCATGAGCTTTAGTTATTCAGGTCATTTTAACTAATTAGATTTTTTGGTTTGTTTTTAATTATTATACTTTACATGTATTTTGTTTTATAAATTGGCCCTAATCCTTATTGAAATGGAAAGGCATGTATACAAACATTCAAGTTCTTAAAAACTACAAAAATAGCAAATAATCTACATTGAACTAAAAAAAAATTAGAAAACATAGCAAAGAAAATCCAAAATTTTATTTTTTTTTCAACTGAAGAACTGCCATTTTATGATCCCTGTATCACCATCATCAAATCTGAGCCAGAGTCTACTGGCTACTATACAGTCTGGCAAATATCATCTCCCAAGACATTTCCAGTGAGTAATTAGCTTATGCTGCAGTTCCATTCAAGACATAAGAAATCCTCATTCCCAAGCATAAGTAACTATCATTCAGTCAAGTGATCAATCAATCATCTAGTTTCTATCTCAGATTACCTCCTTTGCTGCTTTCTTTTGCAGGATTTCTTCTTCTGTCTCTCTTTTGCTTTCTCTCTCTGGCAACTTTTTCAAGTTAGAAGTGAAGATGCTTTTGCTGATACAGTAGATACATTGCTAAGTAAGTATGGACGTGTACATCTGAAGTTTATCAAATTTTGTTAAGATATTAACTCAAGAGAAAGTAGAAAATGTGGCAAAATATGCCAATATTTATTTGAATTTAGGCAGAAAAATGACACTATTCAAATTAGAAATTTAAAAAAGAGCAAAAATTCTACAAAGCCTTTTTATAATATTATTTTAGAAAACTTGTTTCAAAGATAGGAATTTCAAAGATCATATAGGCTTTAAAATTCACAAAGAAATTTGAGAAATTTAAACTATGCATTTTAATAATTTTTCTTGTTACTTTCAACTTCTTGGAAGCAGGTAGTCTCAAAGCAATCCTGTGTACCCAATGGGGAGAAGATGTTGAGATCAGCTATAACGTCAAATCTGGGGCTTATATACAGAAGGATGAAAGAGGTGAAATTGTGTAAACAGATTAAGTCTTGGTCAGTCTGGGAAAAGGACTAAGGTTAATGGGTTAGTGGGGTGTGAGGAGAGATTCTTCTTAAGAAGCTGGAATGTTCTCGCTTTCTTGAGGGGTCGCTGTAGAAAAAAACAAAGAATAATTCTCTACTTCACATCACATAACTAATAAGATTCTTCTATACTTTGTACTCTACAACAAATCACATATCATCCATACTTATACAAAAGGTATATTTTATGTGTTTTCCAGGACAAAGTATAAAAGCATGAATATAAAATACTTAAACAAGTAGGGTTTCTGGAAGGAAACTGTAATTCAAATTTTATTACATGTCTTAAGTAGTGACTTATATGTCACTTAAGAGAAAAGTAGTGATTGGAAGACAGATATGAAGAAACTATCCCGAGGCAGCATTGAAGACAGATAAAGTGATGAAAAGTCTAACAGATCTTAAAGTACATGGGGATCAAAGGCATTGCTAGCATCTGTTTAACTAGTATTCCACTAAATTGGAGACTATTTTGGAGTATCAACTGATCTCTCCATCAAAGCTAATGTCTCAACTTGTAGATCAGTCCAAAAGGTGATTATTATCTTCAAAATTTTCAGGAAAAATAAGTCATTTGAAATTCTTTATATAACAAAATTACTTCAAAAATCAAGGCAAATTAAAAATTTATTTGGGCATATGAAACATAAGTTGTCATCAACTGCAAAGCCACTGGTAAAGATTTTACCTCAAGAAGAAAGAAAATTGTCCCCCAAAGGATAAATATATACAAAAATGATGAGCAAGAAAGTGGCAAACATATGTACTAGAGAATGCATTAATGTTGATGTTGTCTTAGGTGTTCTAGTTAGGGAAAAAAATAAAATCTACATGGGCCCAATGAATCTCAGCTCACAATTACCTCCTAGGGCTATTATTAAGTGAAAATATAGTAAATAACTTTCTGTATCCCCAATACACTAAAGTAGCTTCTGGGCCTTGATAACACTTTTTCCATTTGCTAGGAATGCCCTCTCTAAATTTTGCCTGCTGATAGTCTGCCGAGTCCCTGAGGCCCCTCTCATTTGCTACATCCTTCAAAAAGACCAAATACACCAAACCAGATGTGCTTGATCCCTTTAATAAACCACTGACGCTCTTTCACTTCTCAGACATGCTTCACATTATGCTAACTATGACTTTTACTTGGAACACCTTATATTCCTGTGTGTTATATGATGAAGAAATTCTATCATGTTCACTTATTTGTTAGTTCCTTAAAAATATTATAGAGCTATCCTCAAAATTATAAGTTATTTGTAAATGAATAGAAAGTAGTTTTATTATGTTATTAGAAAATAAGTAGTGGACATAAAAGGGATACTGTTAAAATTGACATAGTGAAGGAAGTAAATTCTGTATAATGAATATCTCCAAGGAATCTTTCATATTTAGGACATTCTAATCTGGGTATGCAAAGAGCACAACCTAAAGTTCACAGGATGATTTAGTACTTCTAATATACAGGGAGAAGAAAAATCCCTGTAAAGCGAGGAAGTGTTGCTTCATTCATGTAGCAGTGATATAGAATTGAACATAGAGGCAAATAACAATAATAATAATAATAATCTATGTGGTAGTGGCTATTTAAAAAATGTTGGCATTTCTAAGCCATTGTAAAACCAGTATGACCGTGACAGTGGGCACTGGGGTGAGAAGAAGGCCATGAAGTTCAGGCTGGTAACGAGGTCAGAAAATGTAGAATCTTAAAGGTCACCTCAAGAACTTTGAATTTTTATTCTGAGTTGCAAAGCATCAGAGATCTTAGTAAATAGGAAAGCAGTTCAACTTTGTATGTATTTTTAAAAAGTTGGCCATTGTGAGGAAAGTACTGGGCAGAAGAGCAAAGGCAGAAGCAGAGATGATAGTTGAGGGTATATTGCATCATCTTGTCTTAGAGAATGTGGTGACTTGAACTAGTGTGGGACTGTAGACATTCTGAAATATCATTAGCATCTGGAAATATTTCAAAAGTATTTGATAGTTTTTGCTTATGGGATGTGTGAAAAGAGTATGTGAATGATTATTCCCATTAATGTGGCCTGAATAAATGGAAAGAAGGAGGAATTATTCATTGAGCTTCAACTTTGGACCAGAGAGGTTACCACGGGGAATTGAGAATTTAATTTTCAACATTCTGTCTTCTGAGTGAGATATTTAGAAAGTAGTTAGAAAGATGAAATCCTAAGTTTACATTAAAGATTCTGTCCAGGGATGTAAAATTGAAAGTCACTGACATATGATAGCATTTAAGGTCATGCAATTGATATGATCACTACCTCTGATACAATGGTCAGTTAAGTAGTAAATGAGAATCCTTTTCGACTTTTTATTACCACAGCTTAACAATATTGGGGTCTACCTGTGCAAACAAGGTATTACATGGAGACAACTTAGTTCTAGTCCTATCTGACACAGGGCTTTATGAATCAGATTATCTCTGTTTATTGAATATGGTCAATCAATAGGCTCTTTATGAGATCTGCAAAAATTACATTTCATGTATTAGTTTATTGAACATCTTTATATAATTTTATTATAATAATGCTTGTTGTAAAATTAAATAGCCCAAGGAACATTGTGAAAGTAAAAATAGCTGTGAGAAAAAATGTGAATGATGTTAAATATCTGACATTTTTAAAAAAGTCACTGACGTAAATGCTCAATGAATGTGAGTTCTTTATACAAACAAATTAAAATGCAATACATTATTATCCACTAACTCTATTTGTGAGATAAGAGTGAAAAAAAGAAGTTTAATGGTAACATAAAAAGCTCAGGAGGGAGCCAAAGAAAGCAAGTCTGATTTGAAATAGTGCTGGTTATTAAAATGGCTGTCCAAGAAAAGGTTGTGAAAAAAAATCATCTTAGAAATGTTGATTTTTGGTCATCCTTATCTTTTAACATCAACAAGATATTTTCCTGCTAGGAATATTTCAAAGTTAAGTTCCTTTATATATTATTAAAGCGTCCTTGGCTCACCTACTTGTATTTTGGGTTCAGATGATAGCTATTTTCTGTTTGTAAAACTGAAACATCTTTGCTTTAGGTCTTATTTAGTAAGAGAGCTTTCAAAGAAAAAAAAAACAGCATATGCCATATTTACATCACAAGCCAACAACAAAAATGTCAGTCCCAGATTTTCTAGATAGTGTAATTCTTCTGTAGGTGGACAATTTTATTGTTAAGATAGTTAACTTATCATTAGGAAAAATCATTCATCATGTGTTAATATTAATTAAAGACTT